AACCGGACCGAACCAGGAGTAACCCACCACTGGACTCTTCCCTTGCCATCGCTTCTTCTTAGTCACATAACTGGAGCCAATAATATGGCTATAGTGCTGACCCAAATATTTCTGAAGTACGTTTCCTATGGGTGAGTGAGCTGCTATGGGGAACTACTCATTTATGAGGGCCTCGGGATGCAGTTTGAGAAGATAAAAATCAACTTTATTGATTTATTTGTGTCCCACCTTTTATTATTTTTACAAATAATCCAAGGCAGCAAACATATTCAACACACCTTCCTCCTCCTATTTTCCCCACAACAACCACCCTACAAGATGGGTGGGACTAAGGGAGGGAGGGAGGGGGAGAGAGAGAGAGAGAGAGAGAGAGAGAGAGAGAGAGAGAGAGACTAGACTAGACCAAGGTCACCCAGCTCTCTTTCACAGCTAAGGTAAGACTAGAACTCACAGACTCCCACTTTCTAGCCTTGTGCCTTAACCACTAGACCAAACTGGCTCTCTACTAGAACAAACTAATCAGGTGGCACTAAAGATCACCAGAGTGAAACTCTGGAAGATTATATCAATTCCTCCATGATCTGAAAGCTCTAAAGGTTTTATATTTTTTAAAAAGTGTATTTCTTAGAGCCTTTATAGTTTTTATCATTATAAATCTTTGTAAACTACTCAAATAGTTGTCACAATGTTGTACTACGACTTCTACAAGCCCTTACTAATTTATGAGCACCGTAATAGTTGGATTGATAGGGAAATCTGAAGATTATGAGACTCACCATCCCAGATCTTCTAAATTTCAGTTTTCAAGTTTATTGGGCACTTTTGAGGTGTTCTTTGAGAATCTGGCTATGAGATAAAGTAATTTACACATTAACTCTTTAATAAAAATATGAAATATAAAAATCAAACCACATTGGAGGGCAAAAACCTGATTGTTTGGTTTTCTTTTCTGATATATAGTACAAAGTTTAGGAAAAGAAAAATAGTGCTTTAAAAGGAGCTTAATTTATTTATTGAAATAGAATTATTTATCAGTCACAGTACTTATTGAAATCAAAATTATCTTTCAAAGTTTCAAGCCATCAAAAAATTACATAGTAAGGCAGTTTTTAAATTTTATTCATTTTTCTGCATGTTTTTTTTCAAACTTACTTGCCTGAAATATTCATCTTTCATTTGGATTACTATATTCCAGAAAAAAAAAAAGAAAAATGTAGTAATTTCTGAGGATTTATCATCTTGACTTTAAAAGTATTTTGGTAAGAGTTTTAGATAAATAGCATTTATACCTCTGCAATTTATCTTTGGGCAGGAGGAATTCGAATGACTTTGGAATCAGTATTTTGGAATAACTAAAGAACTTGGTAGTACAGGGGTTTAAGGCACCCTGTTATTAAGCTGGTTATTAAGACCAGCTGCCTGCAATTACTGCAGGTTCAAATCTCACCAAGGCTCAAGGTTGACTCAGCCTTCCATCCTTTCTAAGGTAGGTAAATTGAGGACCCAGTTGTGAGGGCAATAAGCTGACTTTGTATAAAATATACAAAAGGATGAAGGCTATTGCTTAACGCATTGTAAGCCGCCCTGAGTCTCCGGAGAAGGGCGGCATATAAATCAAATTAAAAAAAAAAAAACTGGATTGGAAATAGAGAAATATTAGACCAATTTCTCATATTGGATTATTGCATATAATTGGGATTTGAAACCAGCTGCTCTCTTTCAACCCAATGCACATCGTAGGGTTGAAGGATGATGAAGATTAAAATGAGAGGGTTCCCCAATATATACTGTGTTGACCAGTGGTGGGATTCAGCCGGGTCTCTCCGGATCACGTGAACCGGTAGCAATGATGGCAGGAGGCTCTGCCCACCCAACCTGACCTAATGCACGCCTACTGCACATGCACAGAAGGCTGTGCACAAGCGCACTCACATTTGCGAACTGGTAGGGAAGGTAAGTGAATCCCACCGCTGGTGTTGACCACCTAATGGAAAGGCAGGATATAAGTGCAGCAAAAAAATAATAATTATCAAACGTAAGGTAAAAAAAAATCTGAGGATTTTAGGATTAGATTTTAGAAACAAAGTCATAATTGACTGTCTGGCTAGCCCCACCTTTTAACAATTTTTTATCGTGGCTTGCCTCTTAAATTTTATATAGCAATAGCACTTAGACTTATATACCGCTTTACAGTGCTTTTACAGCCCTCTCAAAGCAGTTTATAGAGTCAGCATATTGCCCCCAACAATTTGGGTCCTCATTCTACCCACCTTGGAAGGATGGAAGGCTGAGTCAACCTTGAGCCTGGTATGATTCAAACTGCCAAATTGCAGGTAGCCAGCAGTCTTAGCCTGCAGTACTGCATTCTAACCACTGCGCCACCGTGGCTCTATATACAGTTTTTATGTATTTAATATTTTATTGTACACTGCCCAGACTCCCCATATGAGGAAGATGGATGGTTTTAAAATAAATGAAATATATAAATAAAGCAAATAAAAATAAATAATACTGGGGCTATTTCACATAGCATACTCAACACTTGCTTATTGCTACATCAGGTGACAAATTGTGATTGAGAAATAAGTGTGTTGATCATGGTATCTCTTTTGCCAGGTAAGTATAGAAAAAGTACAACAGCTAATTATTACAGTTAATTCTATTGTATCACTGAATGTTGTTCACATATGCCTTGATTTTGATATCTTAATATTCAAATCCACATTTCTCTTTGCATTATACAACTATCTATTATTTGCTACAAATCATTCAGGCTCTTTGCCAACAGTGGGATATTCCCTGCACACAAGAGTACACAAATATTCACATCCCCAACACTTCTCTAATGCCACTCCAAACTTTTACATTTATCCACAAAAAACATTAAACAATCAAGTGAATACCACACATTTTTGTCTTATACCCTGCTCAAGGTTTAACCATTTGCTAGACATTTCATTTATTGTCACTCATGTTTTATTTCCATTGTACATTATTCTTGATGTGATGGAATGTGGCGAAGAGGTAGATTGCCAGGAGGGTGCATTCTTAGAGGCAGAAGAAACATCTCAGTCCAGAAATTGGGAGCCCAGTGTGAAAGAAAGAGAGTGAAGACAGCACCTCCCTATTTGTTCACAGAGTATATTGTAGATGCAAATAGTAGAGCAGTGATGGAGAACCTGCGCGCTTGTCAGGGCTGTGCTCTGGAAAAGCCAAACTTCCGGGTTCTAGCACAGATGTGCACCTGACAATCAGCTGCTGTGCACATGCGCAGGCCGGTTTTTGGTACTGCCACACACGCAAAGGGATTGTGCTCTGAAAAAGCTGAACTTCTGGGTTTTGGTGCGCATGCGCACCTGATGATCAGCTGGCCAGCACGCATGCATAGGCCGGTTTTCGGCACTTCCATGCATGAGAAGGGATCGTGGTCAGGAAAAGCTGAACTTCCAGGTTCTGGCGCACATCAGCAGGACGGCGCACATGTGCATACTGGTTTTTGGCACTGCCATGCGCGTGAAGGACAGCTGATCATTGCACACACATGCACACCAGAAACCCGGAAGACAAACAGGCAAGGCCAAGTGTGCCAGGCGACACGGCTTCACGTGCCACTTTGGGGATGTGACACTTCACGTGCCATATGTTCTCCATCACGGTAGTAAAGTCTTCAGTCTGGTAAGATTTTATCTATAGGAGTCAAATAAAACAAAGTCAGCTTGGAAGAATTGCCATGTGTGATTCTTGGTTCGGGGTATGACACTTATACATTCAGCAATTAAACTTCACCATTTCTTGTTTTCTTTAATTACATTCTTTGCAATTATCCTTTCCTTTTTAGAAATACAATGCAGCCACCATTCAATAAACTAAGGCTGCAAGGCCGACACCCAACAGCCTCTATATCCAGATTCCAACAGCTTTGAGATCAAAGCTTGACTATATTGCTTGATTGACCCAAGCTCAAGAAATACAACATGGTAGCATCAGCATACCGATGGACCTGAAACTCTGTTGTCAGACGAGCAACAGCTTCGTTTAGATGGTAAATAGGAGAGACACAGAGACTGACCATGGAATAAGGGGAAGCACTGCAGCACTGGGCCCATTGCTCCTAATCCTTGAAGTCAGTCCAGAAGGACACCATAATTGATAATATCCAGCACTGTAGCTGTATCACATCCATCTCAGCAACACCAAGACCATCTACAACAGGGCTGTCAAACTCCCAGCTCGCGGGCCAGATGCTTCATGCACTGGCCATGCCCATGCCCAGTTTAGCAAAGGGAAAAAAAGTTGCGATATGTCATGTGACGCCATCATGATGATGCAAGTTTGAAACCCATGATCTACAAGTACAATCAATGCAGTATCTTTGTTATAACCAGGCATGAAAGCAGACTAGAAATGATATAGACCTCTTTCAGGAGTCTCTGAAACCTGACCACCAGACTGGAGACTGATCAAAAATTGTTTAATGTTGCTATAACTAATGATAGTTGAGAAGGGGGTACACCATTGCTGCCTTCAGAGCCACAGGACTACCCCTCATTCATATTTCTCCTGGCACAAACTCTGTTACTGAACCATGACATGACAGGCAGTTATTTTACTGGATAATTCTTCTAGAGATGCTGGGCACCTACATGTGAAATTCTAGCCTTTTAGGGATTTATGAAAAATGTACCACCTCTGTCAGCAGGTAGAGGACTATCTTGAGACATGGTGTCATAAATAGACTATCACCCTGTTGTTTTGCTGCACGTTCTATTCTGATGCTCATGTTTTATCTGCTAGAAAATAGTTTCTCTAAATACAGGTCTAAGAATCCAATTATAAATAATAAGATGTTACAGCTACAGGTTTTGTGAGCACAGAAAGGGTGGGTGGGATGAAGTGAGAAGTATGTAATTCTCTTGCCCTCTTTCTTGATTTGATTGGCTAACCAGTCTTTTCAATCAGGTTTATATTCTAGAGTGGGAGAAAGAAGCTCCTGTGCCTGTGAAAGCTTTATTTTGTGAAGATTTCTTGAATTGCTCAGCAAGTATTAAGAGGAAATTTCCAGACACTTTGAAGGTAAAATTTATTTCAATATCCTGCGTTGGACAAACTTGGTTTTACAATGATCATATCTTGTCTCAGATGGGCTTCTACCTCTTTAAAACCTCTCAGAAACGAGGATATTTCCTTTCTTCTCCTCACTGCAGTAATTGGAAACATGGCACTTCCAGAATTTTCTGCTGCCACAAGTTAAAAATGTACAGAAACAACCCAGGGATCTATGACAAAGCTTCAGTTAGTATGTTAATTTTAAATGAGTTCCAAATAACTCTATTGTTTGCTGGAAAGATTATCATCCAAGCCGAGGTGGCACAGTGGTTAGAGTGCAGCACTGCAGGCTATTTCAGCTGACTGCTAGCTGCAGTTCGGCAGTTCAAATCTCATCAGTTCAAGGTTGACTCAGGCTTCCATCCTTCCAAGGTCGATAAAATGAGGACCCAGATTGTTGGGGACAATATGCTGACTCTGTAAACCGCTTAGAGAGGGCTGTGAAGCACTATGTATATAAATCTTAAGTGCTATTGCTATTGCTATCATGATTACTGAAATGTGATTCACAAGGAAGTTTGCTAGCATTAAGACTGAAGTTCAACAGTATATCAAAGAATTGCCAAATTCTTTGCTTCTACTGTGAGTGAATTTGGGGATAATTTGGCTTTGTCCAGAAGCCCTCCAAATTGTGAAACATACAGTAGCAATTTTACATGGGAGACTTTGGTTTGGTTAGATTAATTCAAAACCTTGCAGTCATTGGATCACTGCAACCCAACCATGGTAGGCCTAATTGTTGTTATTGCTTCTTATATTTGCAGCTTGTGAAACTCAAAACATTTTTTCCCCTTTTCGCTGCTAGCCTAATAATATCTAAGAGACACTGCTACAGGGCAGGGGGGAAAAATCCTAGGCACAGGATGAGCATGGCATGATAAGGTTGATTTTTATCCAGAATAACATTCTTTTATCTTGAAGTTCATTACCTGTGTTAAATTGCCTGAAAAATGAACCAGAATTGTTTTTACAGCATAACTGAATTGTACAGAGGCAATAAGCTCAGCAGAAGTGGAGACAGTTGTCTGTTGATGGGGAAAAGAAAGGGAAATCACCATGCTTGCTAATAACTGAAAGGAAGTGACCATCAATTATGGAAGGAATTGTGCTGTCACTGAGATAAGCCTTGTGGTAGAAAACCAGGAGTCCATTTAGGAAAGGGACCACTAGTTTTAATAAAGATGCCACATCTCATTTTGAAGTTAAGTCATGCACATTATCATTTAAAGAGCTTTTCCTTGCATCCACCTACGCCAGTTCTTTTCATGACAAATCCTCCTGCATTCATTAGACTCCAGAACCATACTTGAGACCATCTTAAAGATATCCTGTATTCCTGTATCATTGCTAAACTAGTGCTTTCCTCCTTACTCTGATACAGATTTTGCTTCAGGTACAATCTGTCAATGATTCTGTTAATGATGCAGTCAGATGAATTTTTGTGTGGTTGGATTATTAGCCCGTCATGAACTTTAGGTTAGTGCTGATACAGTCCGGATACCAGTAGTCCCAGGCAATGGCTCCTGAATGGTTCTACCTTGGGCAGTAGGAATGTCTATTTACAGACAGAATAGAATACAGAATAATAGAGTTGGAAGGCACCTTGGAGGTCTTCTAGTCCAACCCCCTGCTCAAGCAGGAGACCCTATACTTATTATTTCCATCGGCTTCTCTGCTCCTTGCTACTTATAGGTCTCTGAGCAATTTTTAAGCTTTGAGATCTGAGACAGACTAAACGTCTGCTGACTTATGGTTTCAGCTGTTGTCGAGCTGTTTTTATATGCGCACTTAGCGTTATTTCAGAATAAAACTATCCCAACATAGAGCTAAGCCATGTCCAAAAAGACACTGACTACCAGCTGATTGTCAATCTTCCTTTAAACAAGTCTACACACTAAACATGTGCAAAATCAGACCAGGTTTTCACAGTTAGGTAGACCTGTGCTGAAAGAGTGAGTAGAGAGAAAGAAGGTTAGGGAATCCACTACAGGTAGTCCTTGACTTACAACAGTTCATTTAGTGATCATTCAAAGTTACAAACAGCAATGAAAAAAGTGACTTATGACCATTTTTCACATTTATGACCATTGCAGCATGCCCATGGTCATGTGATTTACATTCGGATGCTTGACAACTGTTTCATGTTTATGATAGTTGCAGTGTCCTGGAATCATGTGATCAATTTTTGTGACCTTCTGACAAGTGAAGTCAATGGGGAAGCCAGATTCCCTTAACAATCATATTGCTAATTTAACAACTGCAGTGATTCACTTAAACAAATATGGCAAGAAAAGTCATAAAGTGGGCAACACTCATTTAACAAATTTCTCATTTAGCAACATAAATTCTGGGCTCAATCATGGTCGTAAATCGAGGACCACCTGTAATCCCTATCTGTAATATGTCCTACATCTATTGCCCTACAATAAGGGTATTACATTATACAATATTAGTAAATTAACTTCCGGGCAATACTGCATCAGATAAGGATAGCATAATTTGCTAGCATTGTGGCTGTGGAGATCACTTTCTCTCTCAGCCCAAGTCGGGGTTAAGGACGGATACAAATAAATAAAAATTAAGTTCAAAGGTACATCCTGAGAAATAGCTTAGTTTGCACAAGACAGATCCATGGCTGTGATTGAATTAAAGTCAATAGACAGCTGTGTGGTCACATAGCCCTTTGTGACTTGCCTTTTCCCTTCTCTGCCCCCTCCTATCACTTTCTGGCAGTGAGTCAAGGAGACCTTGGAAGGCTCTCCCCAAAGGCCTGGTATGTTTGCATCAGTGTTGGAAGGAAGCATGCCCAGAGCATGCCTGTCCTGGTTTAATTGTTTTTCTTCTTAAGGTCATGCCAACCATTTTATCACCGAGTTGAGGTGACAACAAAGACAAATCTTCCTCTGTAGAGGACCTGCTTTCTTAGGTCTAATGTCCCTCAGTAACATTATGGGACATAATAATCCTGCTTCATCTTCTAAGGTTGTTGTTAAGGTGATGAGAAGCTAATATAACTGATGGCTGTGAATATTAAAACTGACCTACTGCGAACATTGCTTTTTCTATTCAGTGCACTTGCCCTCCACTAAATACTTAAAACATCTTTGATGGATATCAGAAATGCACTAACTGAGCTACCCCGAACTTGCCGTTCGATTGCAATTTTTAATGTGACAGAATTATTAATGCAGTTAAGAATTTTAATGTGAAAGAATAGTTGATGGGACAAATTCATCTTCCATCCTTCTATCAAATTAGCAGTAAGAATGGGAGAAATAATAATAGGATGTTTGTATATTGGTGATTTTACTGTTTACATTTTTTACATTATATATATTGTCTTTTTTTTTTTTTGTCCTTCCAGGATTTCATAACCCTCTACAGATCCTTCTAGTCCCCTTTTATGGGCCACATTCCAATTATGAAACAATGGACATTTGTCTTATGCCTTTTAGGAACATGTTCTGCTTTGCCGGTAATTCTTACAACTTTATCTCAAACAATTACTTATAATCAATAAAGTTAAAACAAATCAGTTTCTTTTTTTTTTTAAAAAAAAAAACAGAAATAAAGAATATTATGTAGTCATCCATTTTGTTCCAGGTTGTGTTTCTCAATCTTGACAACTTTAAAATGTGTGAACTTTAGCTCCCAGAATTCCCTAGTCAGCATACTGGCTGGGGAATTCTGGGAGTTGAAGTCCCCATATCATAAAATTGCCATGGTTGAGAAATACTGTGCTAGGAGATTAATATTTTTTTTAATCCTATCTAGTAATCTCCAAATATAGTTCCCAAATCCCATTTTTGGTTCTTTTTCATATCAAAATTACAGTATATAACTATGGTTTTAAAAACTGTTTTAAAAGGCACTTTACAGCAATGTCCTGCTCCTTTATACTTCTAGCATTAATTATGGTTTTTGTATTTCCTGTAATAAGGACTTTTGAACAACTATTCTACTTTAGAATAGTTTACTTGAAATTTTCATCCATTGCTTTCAATATTAAAACAAGTCATTTTCTAAATATGCTTTACCTTCCTATTTGTTTTAATTAAGGATCTATTGAGATCTAAATAAAGATCTATTGAGAAGGCTGGAGAAACTCTAGTGTAAAATATTTCATCCCAATGATGGAAACCTGAAGCCCTATACTTTAAAAATCCAGAGTTCATCTTGACGTTTGGTAATTTAAACCAAGCCAGTGGATTGCCAGCTTTCCCTTTTTGTGCCCCACAAATTACTCTAGATTGCTGAAATATGACAGCAATTTCCTCCAATAACCAAGGAGGAGGAAGAATAACAAAGAAGAAATCATATTCAATGTCATACCCCAATCCTCCAATGAAGTCATCATGTCATCACCCAGCCCACCACAGCAGTTCTCAGTAATATTATTCATATTCTTTGGAACAGTTTCATCTCTGGTCTCATAAACTATTCTTAATCTTGCATATCTATAGATACTGCCTCGTCATGCTGGGATTCCTGGAATGGGTAGTATAAGTCTTGAGGTATGTATTTGTGTGTCTATATATATATATACCTAGTTTCCTTCCCTTCAGCATATTTTGGAAATAAACATGTTCACATTAGTTGTGCAAATCATATCTGTTCTCTAAAGCAACTACATTACTTCACAGTTTTCATGTGTGATAGCTTAGGATGGAAGTTGCTCAGTCTGAGAATAAACACTTAGGGCTTTTTGGCATTGCACTTGAAGCTGTCTGACTCCAAAGAATAACTTGGTTGAGACAGTGGTGGGTTGCCCCCGGTTCGCACCGGTTCTATAGAACAGGTAGTAAAACTGGTGGGAGGCTCTGCCCACCCACCACGATGTCATCAAAATGCTTCTGCACATGAGCAGAAGCTTCTGCGCTTGTGCAGAAGAGTGCGCAAACGTGGGAGCGAAGCGAGAGCGCATGGCCCTGCTGCGAACCGGTAGTAAAAGTAAGTAGAACCCACACCTGGGTTGAGAATAGAACTAGCTTAAGAAATTTCTTTCCGTATTTGAACTCTTCCCTCTTTGGCCTGGAATTGGCCTGGTATCTGTTTGCCTGTGATTGGTGGATTTCTCAGTTTCTTTACTCCTCCCTCCTGTGCAAAGAAAGTAAGCAACAACTGCTTTTTCTTTTTTAATTGTTGAGTCCTTGAGGACCTGTGATTTACTTTATAGCTTCTATGGGTTGACTCTTCATCCTTGACACTTTCATCTGTTATGCCTAATGGTGGATTATTTCAAAAAGAAACACTATTTTACCTATCTTCAGGAAGGAAGGAAGGAAGGAAGGAAGGAAGGAAGGAAGGAAGGAAGGAAGGAAGATCAGTGAAATGAAAAAAAGAATAGAATACATTTAGGGTTTGAAGTCACTTCTGAAGGGGCAGACAACCCAGCACCCAGCAACCCAAGACCCAAGAGCTATAGAAGACAACAGCCAGTGACCAAGGAGAAGAGATATATGCCTATAGTGAAATGAAGCATAGCAGGCAAACTAGGCAGAGCCATTTTTGCTCAGGCAAGTTGGAAAATATTACTTTCAATCAATGGTGCGTTGCCCCCGGTTCGGACCAATTCTATAGAACTGGTAGTAAAACCGGCCGGAGACTCCGCCCACTGACCTGGACATCATCATAAGTGATCTGCGCATGCACAGAAGGTTTTGTGTATGCGCAGAAGAGTGCATGCTTGTGTGAGTGAAGCAAGTGCGCGCAGGGGAGCAAGATGCGAACTGGTAGTAAAGATAAGTAGAACCCACCACTGCTTTCAATGCCTAGTAGAAAATGGAGAACGTCTTCACAGTTGGTTAGGGGCAGTTGAGGACAATGCCATGCATTCTTGCCCTTGAGAAATGGTTAAGAGGCCTTTATGTGGACTAGGACAATTTAGTTGTACTGATCCACCTTGGTTTTCTCCGGAGTAAAAATTTTGGAAGTAATTTTCACAGAGAAGGACCGATTGCAATACCTCTATATGAATAACTCCGCTCCCTCCTTTTAAGTCAATTTTGTCAAACAGCTGAAAGACATTTTCCTCCCTCTTTTATACATGTAAAGGTAGGGGCATCTGTACAAATGAATTGGCATTAGATTCAGGACAGACAAAAGAAAGTGCTTCTTCACACAGTCCATAATTAACCCCTTGTGACTGCAAAGAACTAAGATGCCTTGTAAAAGGAGATTGGATGAATGTAATAGAATTTGTGTAAATGGGATTGTGATCAGACACGTCTGTTCCAGAGGCAATACAATTCTGAATACAAGCTGCATTAGGTGGAGAGTGAATGGAGGCTATTATTTTTTAACTACTTTTTGTGAGCTCCGTGAAAAGGTGTGTAAACATCATCACAAAATAGAACATACTGATTACAATAACACTGAGGATTTTAAATCTTGCCTTACAGGGTATGAGACAGCTGGGTGGACCAGGTGGACCCAAGGTTCTCCCTCAGGTAATCACAGTTATGCCACATAGCCTCTTTGCAGAAAAAATTATTAATGGTGATGAGAATAAGCCAATGATGCTATTCCAGAGTTATTCTATTTATTGACTTACGTACATCCAAAGCAAGGAACCTTTGACTTTAGAAAGAATTGGAATTGATTAACTGTACTGAAATGATCACTGATTAGGAAATTAGGACCAAACCTCACAAATTCTAAAAAAAACCCCAAGAGGCTTCCCATCCCTTGCTTATCTTGATGGGTAAACTTAGTCTTGACCAAGTTTACAATCAAACCAAATATTTACTTTGCTTATTGAGCAGCATGAAATGACTATGTTTTGATGTATAATTATTTTAATTGGCTTCAATAAGACATGCTTCTTAATAAACAAATTACAGATCATGTTTTCAAGAAATCCTACCATGTTCCCTATGACGTAATCCCAAGTAAATCTCTATGGGAGTTCAGTGGCTATAAATTTTAAAATAATAACAATAAAGTGTGGATAAGTCAGAAGTATCCTATTGCTTTCTTAGATATGCAGCTCAGTTTAATACTCTGTGTTCAATAGAAAGTACTACTAGACTCAGTGACTCTTACTGTCAAGCAACTGTGCAGTGTACTTTGATTTTAATCATAACCTAACTCTATCATGCCGATTATTAAAAACCCTTCACTTATTTATATAGTAATCCTGAAGGCACTCTGGAATTTGATGTTATTGTTGTGTTAAATATCCTGTAGTGATCTTCTAGGGTGTTTGTTAAACTGACTGTATATAATATTTATTGAAAGGGTTCCAAGCTGACTTCATTTGTTTCCTTATTGAGGCTTGTGTGTTGTCAAAAGGCAGAATGATTAATAAATGGATATGTAGTGCCTCTTCCTTCTCTTTGGCCCTTTTTTCTCTAGCTAAATTTATGGATCTATTATCAAAGAAAGGAATTTGGTATATATATATATATATTTATAAAGGAATCAAGTGGAAAACCCTTTACAACATCTATCATTTATGAATTAATTCTGATTGGTAATATTGGCTTGAATTTAACTCCTGTTCTAACTTATTAGCCTCTGAATTATAGCTTCAGAATAAATGTATTTAATCGTACCACTTTTAGTATGGCCAGACTTACAGCTATGCTGATCCATTTAATTCAATGTGGATGCACAATTTCCTACCGTCACATTCATCATTTTACTTGATACGGCAAAGACCTCAACATGAAACCCAACAGGTAAGCAATTTAAGCTGTTATCCCCCCAGAAACATTACAGTATTGAAGCAGAACTCTTCTTTGTTGCTTTCTAGATATTTTTCCCTAGACTGGTTTTTTTTTTTTCTGGATATGCTGGGATTACAACTTTAAGAATTCCATACCACCCATTATGGTCCCCCCATGAGAACTATAATTCCCTGGATCTTCTATGGAGATTCTCCGTCATCAGGTCATGGTTGTCCCAAAGGTGCTTTTTTCAAAAGGCAACTGGACTTTGTTTTTTCTTGAAGATGTTTTGCTTCTCACCCAAGAAGCTTCTTCAGTTCAATTGAAGAAGCTTCTTGGATGAGAAGCAATACATCTTCAAGGAAAAACAAAGTCCAGTTGCCTTTTGAAAAAAGCACCTTTGGAAATTTCCTGGATCTCAGCAGCATAACTTCTTGTCTTCTGCATGCAATGGATGACCATCAGTCTCAATCTAGAATGGCTGTATAGCATGGCCATAACTCCCGTTTACTAAAATGCTAAGAGGTATTGAATCTACTCCTTTAGCCCAACTTTCTCAAATGCTTTCTATCACTTCTATCAGTATACTGTGTTTCCCCGATAATAAGACCCTGTCTTATATTTTTTTTGAACCCTGAAATAAGCGCTTGGCCTTATTGCCATGTGCTCAAAAGCCCGATTGGCCTTATTATCAGGGGGATGACTTATTTTGGGGGAAACAGTGTATATTTATCTTTATCCTTGTGGTTCACCTTTACACAAAGCACTGAGTTGCAGTTCCCTTCTTATTCAATGTCTAGGAAAAGCTTTGAAATCATACATAATAGGAATCATTTTTCAAAATTGTCTATGGAGGTTCTCATTCATCCAGGTCAGGGTTGTCCCAAAAGTCCTTTTATTTTAAAGGCAACTTTCTGGTTAATTCTTTAAGACATTTTGCTTTTCATCCAAGAAGCTTCTTCAGTTCTGGAACTCCACCAGTTAGTTAGAACTGAAGAAATTTCTCGGATGAGAAGCAGAATGTCTTAAAGAAAAATTAGAACGTCCCATTGCCTTTAAAATAAAAGCATCTTTGTGACATTCTTCAAAATTGATGAGATGCTAGATGTTGACATTTTTCTCTACAACATGGTGGCTTCCTGATTCATGCCTTTATTAAAAGAATCAATAATAATATTGGGTGGGACATGACACTTATTAGGAAGCTTTGATGGCCCTGAGAATTGAGCATCCCGATCTGGGAGGCAAACAAATGTATTACAGTATGGCATTTTGTAAACCAGAAATTCATTTGTCAGATTCATTGTTCATGCAACTTTTCAGTATGCCTGAAAATGGCTCATTCATGATTTTAACCTTTCTTTTCTGGTTATTCATCTTTTATCACTTCATAGTATGAATACACAATGCCAGTGCACCCTCCTCCGTTGCCATCTCAAACACCCACTCTGCACCAACAACCTGGGATACAAGAGCAACCTCATTACCATTACGCACATTTCCTTCCTACAAGACAAGTCCAACTACAACATTATGATGTCCAGCCGCCATTTCATCCAAATCAGTTTTCTCCATCAGAAGGAAACCAGCCAGATGTTCAACAACAGCTATCATTGGATAGACAAGCTCAACAGGTCAGTTTTCACAGGCAATTTATTTATTTATTTATTTATTTATTTATTTATTTATTTATTTATTTATTTATTTATTATATTTCTATACCGCCTTTCTCCCGTAGGACTCAAGGCGGTGTACAATCAAGAAAAATATAGATACACAAACATCATAAAATTGCTAATTAAAATTATTATTATAACATAGTTTGGCCCAATTAAATAGAACCTAAAATTAGATAACATTTTAAAAACATCCACATTTGAGATACTTCTAATATGAATGGGAATTCTCTACATCTCCAGTGCAGGTAGCCCTTGACTTATGACTGCAATTGGGCCCATAATTACGGTTGTAAGTCATTGTAGTCAAGGCATCACGTAACTGGATCCGAAGTTTTGGCATTTTTTATGGCAGTTGTGAAGTGAATTCATTTTACCCAGTGAGTATTTTTTTTTGCCGGAAACTGGAAATAAATATCAGAAGCTGGCAAAAAAAGTTGAAAATCACAGTCACTTGATTGTGGGACACTAGAAATAGTCTTAAAGGTGATACAGTTGTCAAGTGCCAAAATGCAATGATGTGACCATGGGGGGGGGGGGAAGGGAGGCCACCACAATCTCAAAATTGGGTCATAAATAGCTTTTGGGGTGTCTGTTATAATTTTGATTGGTCACTAAACAATTAGTTGTAAGTCGAGGACTATCTGCGATCGAATCATTAAGCACTAATCTTTGGCGTGGAGGTTATAAAGAATATGAAGGCACAAGATTAACTAAGGCTGAATGAATCATTTAATTCTGATTGTTCTCACTTTTTCCATGTTACATAGTTTGCAGGGGGGGGGAACATTCTAAAATGTGTATGTATTTTAATGCATATTTCTCGTTTTCATTTGCCTTTTTTTTAACCACATATAAAGTTTTTTTTTTTTTACAAAAAGCCTTTCTTGGTATAATACATTTTGGATTTTTAATTTAATTAATATGTGCATTTTCCAGCAAACATTTCCTTAATAAACTTTTAAAAAGAAATGTTGACCACATTGCATTAAATTAGACACATTTGCAATCAAATGCAAAAAAATATATTGGAAAATAGTATTTACTAAGTAAATTGAATGATGTAGATTCTTTGGAATGTAAATTGACTGATACAGATTCTTTGACTATGATCTTGCAACAATTTATTTCAAATCTACGCTGTGAATAAATTCCCTGGTTTAAAAATCTAACTTCCTAAGTAAATGTGGTTCATTTATATATCAATTTCTATTTTTTTCTGTAAGATACAAATAAATATTTCTTCTAGATTTTAAGCCTCTTCCAAGAATTTAAACACTTATAACACATAACACAATTATATTTAGATTGAAAGCTTTGCTTAGTTTATTCTTTATTTTCTACATGTTGTTAAGCTAATGGTATCAATTGTTTTCTTTTATTAACTATAGTTACCTGCCATACAAGACTATTCAGGGACATTGGGCCAAGTAAGTATATTTTAACTATGAGAATTATAACAGAGATAACCTTCTTGACCAAAACAACTACTTAGAAACAGACAGAGGAACACAAACAAACAAACAAACAAACACACACATACACACAGAGGCACATTCAGTATGCCATATGTTGAATTCTTTAGAATTTTTTTTCTGTCTTAAGGCAGTATGTATTGTAATCCTTCATATTTTTCTGGATACCCCATTCAACTTTTTCTTTCTTTTTGCAAAGATCTACCCTGGCTTATTTGGAACCCAGCAAAACACAGCCCAACAGCCACAGCTACAATCTGTAAATTGGTTCCCCAACTAAAATCTTATTGTTAATGCAGTTGAATTTCCATCACTGGAATTTCATTTCTATCTTAACATACAAATGTAGACATAAGGTAAAGGTTCCCCTCGCACATATGTGCTAGTTGTTCCCGACTCTAGGGGGCAGTGCTGACTCTTCATACAAAGGCGAAGAGCCAGTGCTGTCCGAAGTCATCGCCATGGTCATGTGGCCAGCATGACTAAATGTCAAAGGTGCATGGAATGCTGTTACCTTCCCACCAAAGGTGGTCCCTATTTTTCTACTCCCATTTTTATGTGCTTTCGAACTGCTAAGTTGGCAGAAGTTGGGACAAGTAACGGGAGCTCACCCCATTACGCAGCACTAGGGATTCGAACTGCTGAACTGCCGACCTTTCGATCAAGAAGCTCAGCGTCTTAGCCACTGAGCCATCGTGTCCCTTAATGTAGACATACTTATTTGCAAATTAGCTTTTGCCTCAAATGTTTCAGTTCTCCGAAATGCAAACGAATTTACAAAGAAACTTTTCTTTGTAACCAAATATGGTTATTCCCTAGAAAGAACTTGATCCATGAGTTTATTAAATTATTAAGAGATTCCAACACAATCCTGATAATTTCCCGGTTCTTATGGATTCCTGCAAAAATGGCATAGTCTTAATAATGAGAGCCAGTTGGTCAAGCGGTTAAGGCATGAGGCTAGAAACAGGGAGACCGTGAATTCTAGTCCCACTTTAGACATGAAAGTCAGCTGGGTGAACTTGGTCCAGTTTTTCTCTTTCAGCCCAACCCACCTCACAGGGTTGTTTTGTGGGGACAATAGGAGGAGGGGAGGCATATTAGATATGTAAGCTGCCTTGAGTTATTTATAAAAATAATAAATTAAAATAAATAGTGGGGGAATTCCTTAAGAATATTTATATGATACCTGTTAAAGCCAAGATGTGGATAAAGATGAGTCATTGTCCTGGCTAAAAAGGCATGTTCCTTTCCAGTCTATTTTTATAAAGATTAAAACAAAAACAAGCATCTCAAAATCAATTTAATTCTTTCTTTCTTTTTTGTCTAGATTTATCCCAATTTGCAATATATGTCTTACATAGCAAATAAAGGAGTAAGTACTTAACATTAATCTACCCCTAATGAAAACCTTCAGACTTATCATGTTTCGGATAAATAAATGTATTTCTGTGTATTCCGTGTAAAATACCACATAGAAATAGTGGGAACCAGTTGATTCCAATAACAGTTCGTTAACAGTTTTTTTTTTTAATTTCAACATCGTCTTTTTTTATTACAATTCACCATTTTTAATACATTTATATTTTTACATAATATAGTCATTATTACTATTTTTTTTCTGTTAACCACTTTGTTATTAATATAGTATATAGATGACAGGCTAGCAATTTGTAAGTAGATGTAGTGGTTTAATGGTTTAAAATTCTTTTAGCCTGTTTCGCAAGGGGTGACAAACCAACATCCCTGTATTATACTAATCAGCATTCAAGTAGGGAAGACGTTATGTGTGTATTTGTTAGGGTTTTTTGCAGGACACTTTTTTTTTTTGTTAATGACTTTTTTGTTGAGTTTTTTTCTTTTGGTTTTTTAAAAAAATATTTTGGTATTTTGTATTTTAATCTTCTTTGAGTAAACTAAAACAATTTCAATTTTTTAAAAAAGGAAACAGTGGGAACTAGTGCCATCACAATTGAACTTCGAACACCCAGAATTAGATCTAAGGAATAGATTAAATCTCCATTGAGAAAGTGTTCTGAAGTGCAACAAATCATTTCCCCACAACCCCCAAAGGGATGGAAAGGATTATATGAATCTTAAACTTGGCCCACCTCTGCAGTTTCCTTCCCATCTGTTAATCTGCTTCTGTGTGTTCCCACATATTATTTTGTAGGTCACACTAAAAATGAGCAAAAAAATAAAAAGAAGGGACTTAGTCATAGATCACACTTTTCTCAACATAGGCACAGACCCACCTAACATTTATTTACAATCATAATGCTACTATACATCAATTTACAGCTGTGTGTTAAGAGAGTTGTCTTTATTCATCCTGAGACATGGAATACTACATGTGCGTTTAAATTCCCATATTTTTTCTGGCCAACATATCCATTGTTCAGAATTCTGGAAGTTAATTCATACATTTAGAAGTTGGTCAGGTTGGGGAAAGCTGCAATACCTGACCTACATATTAATATATAAACAAGTTGGAATCCAGTTGTTCAAATGGTAAAGGTAATGATTATTAACCAAGTTATTGTGGCCACTGGAAGGCTCACATTTCCGATTTTTAATTTACAGCTTTTAAAATGGAGAACAGTTGAATTTACCACAATACTTAAGGGTTTTTTCCCCAAAAACATAACATAATATTTCAAAAGAAAAGAAAAATATGTTTAGGAGCATTGATGTTGTTGTTGGTAATACAGGAATATGCACTATTATATGCAACAAAACCATAGATCCTGAAAAATTGGGACTTGTTGATATTAGACTGCCATGTTTCATTCCTAATATGTGGTTTGCTTATTTGCATGTTCCATAGGTTCCTGCCAGATTAGGAATAGTAAGCTCAGAAGAAATGCAGGTAAATTGTGGCCATCATACTCATTTACATATAGATTAAGAAGGGATAAAATTGACTTTTTCTTTAAAGAGTAGAGTAGAGTAGAGTAGAGTAAAATTCTTTATTGGCCAAGTGTGATTGGACAAGGAAGGAAGGAAGGAAGGAAGGAAGGAAGGAAGGAAGGAAGGAAGGAAGGAAGGGAGGGAGGGAGGATATAATAGTCAAGAAGTTTAGAGTTGATTTGTAAGGAACTGATTTGCAACCTATGGAATTTTTGCAATTCACCTACAAATAAAGCAATAATAAATAAAAGTGATATAAACATAGTCAAGATGAAAAAGGTCCAGAATGTATTTATTTATGCAGTTTATCTACCTTCTCAATCCTCATGAACTCTAGAGTTTACAACCGTGATGGCGAACCTATGGAATGTGTGCCACAGGTGGCACACGGAGCCATATCTGTGGGCACGCAAGCATTGCCCTAGCTCAGCTCCAGCATGCATGCACGCTCTGGCCAGCTGATTTTTGGGCCTTCTGGGCCCACTGGAAGTCGGGAAAGGGGCCGTTTTTGGCCTCGGGAAGGCCTCTGGGGGGTGGGGAAGGCCATTTTTGCCCTCCCCAGATTCCTACTGGAACCACTGTGCCATCGCATGCCAAAAGCGGTGGGAGCCATGGGGGATTGCATGCACATGTATGGGGTGGGGTGGGGGGCATTGAATTATGGGTGTGGGCATGCACATACACAACCGCCCTGTGCTCCCACTTTTGGCACACGATGGCAAAAAGGTTAGCCATCACTGTACTACAATAACAAACAAATACTAGGACCCTCCTGATACCTCCTGAAACATGGGAATGCTTAGTAGGCATTCTGTAACCCAGTGATTAGAAAAGTTGAGATGAGTGGGCTACAATTTTGTTTCCCATTCAAATCCTGAAAGTCTCCAGCCACTGGCAGAGGACTTCTCCTGCATTTTCCATTGGAGCTGTAGAACTATCTTTGATGATACCTCATCCTGAGCAGATGAATGATTTCTACCAGCGGTTTCAAGTATATGTTTCATAGAATAGGGAGAAGACTCACCCCTGAAGCACTCTATAAATGGGTATCCGACTTCTCCCCTCTCTGTTATTTTATATTATTATTATTACTATTATTACTATTACTATTACTATTATTATTATTATTATTATTATTATTATTATTATTATTATTATTTCACTGCTGTAATTTTTTGCCTGGTAAAAAGACTCCCAAAGTTTACTGACGCTGAGCAGCATGTTACCTAAAGTGGGAATAAGGATTGTACAATTAAGTTTACTTATTCACAGAAACAGCAGGGCTGCATTCATTCATGCAATTGTTTCTCAGGAATTGGTTTGATAGGACTTGGCTGAGCTCCAAATAAATCCAGATTCTGATATTGATATTTGCTCTCTCTCTCTCTCTCTCTCTCTCTCTCTCTCTCTCTCTCTCTCTTTTTTTTTTTTTTTTTGCTCTTTTGACGCTCCTTAGTCTCAAAATTATCATGATCTACTACCATTTTCCTGCTGCTGCTGCTGCTACTACTACTACTGTTCAGTTCCCCCCACCCCACTCCCCAAAAAACCAGCTCCTAGATGATTGATGGCCCAACTTCAAATTCCATCTCCACCTAGCTATGTCATCTGTCATTTATTCTCTAAGGCTTCAGTGTTAACACAGCATTTGTTTTCTGGGACATTTCCCACTGCATAAAAAACAGTTTAGATTTTCATTCCTCAAGTTTGTATTTAGGACAGCTTGCTAAGTGCTAAAGCCAACACTTTCCACTCACATCACCATCTCTCTCCATATGATTGTCATTTGGATCTTCAGAGGGTTTATGGCCATTCATGTAATGTCATGGTTTTTTTTCCAGGGTGGAGGATTTGGTGCACCGGCCTATCGGGCAGCAGGCTCCCATGGCTTTCCCATGGATGCCAGATTTGGAAATATGCCACTGAATAGAGGCCAACCAGGAGATTACACAGTCGAAGATGATCAACTGGGCATTACAGAACAACCTAAAGTTCCAAAAGGAGCCAACCTAGGGCCCAACCCTCCAGACAGAGGGAATGATGTTATCCCTGTAGATATCAACCCAAGAGTTGCCTTGCCCAATGCCAACAACAATCTGTTAAACCCTGCTGGTCAGAGTAAAGGGCAGCCAAATGCACCTCAAGCCACTGCCTTGCCTCCAGCAACTCCTGATAGCTTCACTCCTTTAGAGGCAACTAGCATTCCCATGCCTTTGGATCCTACCATCTTTCCTGACTTCTTTTACTCAACCAGTGCAGGAAATGAGGCTGGCCAGCCACAAGTCAGTCAAAGCAGCTGGTATTTGCAAGAGCCTTGAAGAACACGTGCTGCTTGTTTACTCTTTAGGTATTTCTTGGCCTTGAGTTGATGAGAGCCAAAAACAGCCAATGGATGAATCGATGGATGTACTGTAGCTTGTTGCAGGGATGCCAACAGTTTTGCTTCAGTTTTTTTTTAAATATTTCATCTTTGAGAAAGTTTTGGAGGCGCCAGATGATCAATGGCTAAAAACTAAATGTGTTTCCTATCTGCTTAAGTAATCCATTGCCTGTTTAAGCTCTCTAGCTTTTTTTGTGCTTTAGGTCCTTGCCTGGCTCATATTTTTATTACAAATTATTTATGAACCCTTTGGCTTTAGATTCCATTTAAGACTTACAAACAGGTTCACTGATATGGAAGTTGTCTCTCTTAATTCTGATTAGATGGCTCACTGTATTGCATTCAGTTGTTTAGGCAGCATGAAATAAACTTTTATTTAATCACATTACTGATTCTTGTGGCTTCTTTTTTTTTTCAAAAAAAAATAATAATGACATGAGAGAAGATTATGCAAAATCTGTTTCCAAAGTAATCAGAAGCTGTTTCTTTCATATTTCCCCTTTTCAATACCCTCCATCCTGTACCTTTTTCACAAAATATGTACGTTCAAGTCAGTGGTGGATTTCAAAATTTTTTACTACCAGTTCTGTGGGTGTGGCTTGGTGGGCGTGGCTTGGTGGGTGTGGCAGGGAAAGGCTACTGTAAAAGCTCCATTCCCTCCCCACTCCAGGAGAAGGTTATTGCAAAATCCCCATTTCCTCCTGATCAGCTGGGACTTGGGAGGCAGAGAATAGATGGGGGCGGGAGTCAGTCAGAATTTTTACTACCGGTTCTCTGAACTACTCAAAATTTCCGCTACCAGTTCTCCAGAACTGGTCAGAACCTGCTGAAACCCACCTCTGGTTCAAATAACATGTGTATATATATATATTATCTGGGACATTCATTTGATAGCTAAGTTATTATTCTTTGAAAATTGAACAATACAACAGAGTAAATTGCTTACTCTTAGAAAGGAGGGCTGTAGGTGTGGGAAAACCTAAAGGTGCTTTTTCAAAAGGCAATTGGACTTTGTTTTTCCTTGAAGACGTTTCACTTCTCATCCAGTTCAATTCAGTTCTGAACTGAAAAAGCTTCTTGGATGAGAAGTGAAAAGTCTTCAAGGAACAACAAAGTCCAGTTGCCTTTTGAAAAAGCACCTTTGGGACAACCATGACCTGGATGACTGAGAATCTCCATAGACATTTAGATGTGGGAAGATGAAGCCTCACAACCCTTCTGGTTGCAGCTCTTCTGCTTTGCTGCTCTGTCATCTTTACAGGCAGTTTTCATTTAGTAAATGCCTCACTTAGCAACCATTCAAAGTTACAACAATGGTGAAAAAGGAACTTTGCGATCGATCTTTGCATTTATGACCTTCAACAAGCCTGGAAAGCAACGGATATTGTAAGCACAATTGCAGTTTTTCTTGGCAACCACTTTGCTTAATGATCAAGTTGCCAGTCTCAATTGTGCTCACTAAACGGGGACCACCTGTACGTCACCCCCAGTAATGCTAAAAAATAAAGTAGATATATCATACCATTAATGAGAAAATAGATGGGTATGGGGCATAGTGGGTTCTACTTACCTTTACTACTGGTTTGCAATGGGAAGCTTCTGCACATGCGCAGATCACCTATGATGACATCCGGGGCGGTGGGCGGAGCCTCCTGCCGGTTTTACTACCGGTTCTTGCGAACCGGTCAGAACCAGGGGCAACCCACCACTGGTATGTGGTGGGGCAGAAACTAAAAGGAAGAATGTTCATGGTATGCTACACGACACCCAAAATATGGCAGGAAGAAAGTATATTAGACCTGAAACCGGCAGATTTATTTTCTACCCAGACAGCTCCTATCTTCTGCACTGCTGATAGAAACATTTGGAGCTGGTGACTCCCACCAATGGATTTTTAAAAAAATATGCTTTGAATTGTTCTACTCGTTTTTTTATTTGAAAAACTGAGACACCAAGTCTTTGTGCAACAAAATGACCTCTTGACATGTCCCCAGCCTTCCTCCCTCTGGACAGATGAACTCCACCCTTAATATCTAGTTTTATAACTGGAATGTAAAGACTGATATCACAAAGCTCCAAAGCTGCTGCCCTTCTCAGAATTTAGCATCAGTGCTATCTCAACATCTCTTATGTCTTCTATTTCCAATAACATCCAGCCTCTGCAAAGCTTACAGGGGAAAACATAAAAATTACAGCCATTCCTCATTTTGCTCCAGCATCTGATATTCAGCTCCAAGCCATACATCACATTAGTCCTATATTTCTAACATGGGTTATCGTAAAGAAAATAGTAGATATGGGTCATGATCTGGAGCATTTCTTTGATCTAGAGTGGGGCGTTGTGCCAATTTTCTGTTGAAAAGTCAGCTTCTCCTGGTTGCTTTTGGCCTCGGAAGATATATTTGCTGTAAGTGATCATTTTATCCCATAACTAATTGTAGTCTTCCAGATTAGGGAAGGACAGTATGCCATGATTCATGAATATAATTTGCATGGTTTTCCTTTTTTACTTCTGTACCCAAAGAGAAATTATTTCTATGTCATTTTGGAACAAGGAAAGGAAATAACAGTGATACCAAATATCAAGCATATGTTGTTGAATTCAAGAACAGGCAGGGAACTAGAAGAGTTGAATGTAGAAGGGCAATCCAAAACCAACACTTTGATCATTTCAGTATGAGTAACAGAAACAATGTATTTTTAACTTGCAGGACCAGAATGGAAGGAAGCCGGTTTCTACTCCTATTTTAGGGGAACTGAATGATGGAACAAACTAGCAAAGAAAGAAGATGTTCTAAGCTCAGATCCCTAGAGAAATCAGCTCTTAATCAAAGGAACTATGTTGATCCCTCAAGCATGTACTCTGAAATATCCTACTGCCTCAAATATTTGTGTAAATGGAAGAAAAGGATAATTTTGCCATCTAAGGAAGGATCCTTTTCCACATTCATAGTGGCTCCCATACAGACATCTCATATTCTATATATTCAAACATCCCATATATACTATATATGGGACCCACTTTGAAAGTGGAAAAGGAACACAAATGCTTCCTTCAGGTTTTTCCTTTGTTTGGCTCAAAAACATCTGGGATTGGCCCTAAAATGGGCCAAGCACCACAGGTCCCAGATCTTGTTTGCTATTAATGTATATTTCTGAGTCCCAAGCTATGGTTATTTTTTAATTTTTATTAATTTCTTATCCTTCCTTTATTATTTTTTAGAAATAAATCATCAACCATATACAATGCTTATATTTATATGCTTTTTTGCATACTTCTTTGATTGGGGTATTGTTTACTTCTGGATTGTTGGTCTAGTTCTAAATTTGGTGTTAATCACTGCTCATCTGGATGTTGATTGCTGGTAAAGAGGTGTTTTGGCTTTTGTTTCCTTTTTGGCTTTTTGATTGTCTCTTTTGAATGGGACACAGATGTTGTTTATCTTTATGTGCCGATTGGAAGTGCCAACTCAGAACAAACAAGCTAACAAACAAGGAACCATCAAGAACACTTCCACCAACACTGACAGGGTAAGTCACTAGTATATAAAAAAAGAGAACAAACCCACATCCTTCTAGCACTGATGATGTTATCTAGTTTGGTAATAAAACATCTGCAAGAAAATAACCAAACTCAGAGTGCATCAAGGACCCCACAGTTCACATCCTGAATTACAAATATTCCTTTCTCTCGATAACCTGTTCTTTCAGGTTTCCCCAGGTGCACTTATCACCACCACAACTGAATCCATCCACATGCTTCTGGTCATGTTTTTCCTCTTTTTCCTTCCATCTTTCATTGAATCAGAGTGTTTTACAGAGAGCTAGGCCTCTCCATAATGTGTTCAAAAAAGGATAATTTGAGCCTGGTCATTTGTGCCTCGAATGAAAAAATCAGGGTTGATTTCTTCAATGATCCATCAATTTGTTTTCTTGGCTGTCGAGGAACTTAGATGAAGGTTATACTGAACTTCTGGAGGGTACTCTAGTTGGGAATTTATTTATTTGGACAGTTTATAAGACTGTCTATTTTAAAGCAATGACTCTAGGCAGTGAATGGTAGTAAATTATGTCACTGGTGGGATCAACATTTTCAGCCCAGCATAACAGTGGTGAGTTTCTACCAGTTCGCCCCGGTTTGGGCCAACCAGTAGTGGAGGTGGGAGCCTCCACTCACCCACCCAGACGTCATCATGGATGCTCTGCACATGTGTAGAAGCACCATGCGCGCACTCCCAATTCTGAACCAGTAGCGAAGGTAAATGGAACCCACTACTGCAGCATGGCCTAGTATTTCAGGAAGGTGGGATAAAAGAATCTCAGTTTTAGAATGAAATCTAGAAACAAGATAGATTTCAATCTATAATCAGGATAGATTTCATTTCATTCCAAGGAGTGGCCTGTTTCAAGAAGTGCTCCCAGGATTCTATTTGCAGCTAAGTGGCCCCTTGAAGTAGCAGTTTGTAGAGCAAGGCCCAGATGGCCTTTCAAAATTACCCACCTAATCTGTGGGCAGAGAAATTAGCTGGTTGATTTATTGGAAATTTCCTAAGGGAAGGAGAGGTTTTCCAAACATATTCTGAGGAACAGACTCTTCTTTATTAACACTATTACTGAAAACAAACAAATCATGAAATTTCCCTCATGTTGTTCTTCTGCTGGCATTCAATTGAACTCCCAAGGCATTCAGTGACATACTCACTGAAAAGATGACTTGGTAATGAACATTCACTGTTCATACAATCCCCTTGTATCTCTCATTATTAAGTCAATGCAAAAATACTACACCCATTAGGATAACTCCAAAACTCTCTCTCTCTTTTTTTTTTTTGACCGAATTTCTAAAACAAATTCCCTTTCAGTGGATTAAATAAGGATGTGTAGGAATAAAAATCTGATGAATTTCTCTATCTGATATTAATGATTGTTTTAGTTTATCTTAGTGAAACAGTATATACTTTGTACTGAGATAAGAACACAGCCACATGGGGCGTGTGTGTGTGTGTGTGCATCCGTGTGTGAAAATATCATCATCACAATTAAAAATAAATATTGAAATTTCGCACACTCACACAAAGACTCATAAAATCCAACAAACAATATCAACGAAGATGTACTTATGAAATGTTTTCATCAAAACACAATGGCAAATGTATTACCTTAATGACATTTCCCACATTTTCAGTAACATTTTGAGACTTTCGTGTTCTCTCTTCCTTTCTCTTACATTGTCATCCAGTTTTCATGCCTAAAATAGGGCTAGAAGCTACTTTATTCCGGATTCTAGCCTTGTGCCTTAATCACTAGAACATATACAGTATACACTGTGCTTATGGAAAATAATGCTTTTAAGTTTCAGAAAGAAAATTTCTATCTAAT